GATCTCGGCTCACCGCAACCTCCGCCTCCTGGGTTCAGGCAATTCTCCTGCCTCAGCCTCCTGAGTAGCTGGGATTACAGGCACACGCCACCATGCCCAGCTAATTTTTTGTAGTTTTTAGTAGAGACGGGGTTTCACCATATTGACCAGGATGGTCTTGATCTCTTGACCTCGTGATCCACCCGCCTCGGCCTCCCAAAGTGCTGGGATTACACCGGGCGCGGGCTTGAGCCACCACGCCCAGCCCCAGTTTTGCTCTTGTTGTCCAAGCTGGAGGGCAATGGTGCAATCTCAGCTCACTAAAACCTCTACCTCTCAGGTTCAAGTGATTCTCCTGTTTCAGCCTCCTGAGTAGCTGGGATTACAGGCACACGCCACCACACCTGGTTTATTCTTTGTACTTTTAGTAAAAACCGGGTTTCAACATGTTAGCTGGGTTGCTCTCAAACTCCTGACCTCAGGTGATGTGCCTGCCTTGGCCTCCCAAAGTGCTGGATAACAGGCATGAGCCACTGCGCCCAGCCTCTTATGTATGTATGTATGTATGTATGTATGTATGTATGTATATATGTATGTTTGAGATGGAGTTTCACTTGTGTCGCCCAGCTGCAGTGCAATGGCACCATCTTGGCTCACGGCAACCTCCACCTCCCGTGTTCAAGCAATTCTGGTGCCTCAGCCTCCCAAGTAGCTGAGATTACAGATGCCTGCCACCACGCCTGGCCAATTTTTATATTTTTAGTAGAGACGGGGTTTCAACATGTTGGCCAGGCTAGTCTCAAACTCCTGACCTCAGGTGATCTGCTGGCCTCAGCCTCCCAAAGTGCTGAAATTACTCTCATGAGCCACCGCACCTGGCCTATTTATTTTGACACACTATTTTATCTACTGCACAGCTCTCCTTTTCCTCCAGATTCTGCCTATGCACTTATTCCTTCAGAGAAGCCCTATATACACAGCCCCAGCTATCAACATTCTTTTTATTTTCTACTTTTTGAGATAGAATTTCACTCTTGTGGCCTAGGTTGGAATGCAGTGGTGTGATCTTGGCTCACTGCAACCTCTGTCCCCCAGGTTCAAGCAATTCTCCTGCCTCAGCCTCCCAAGTAGCTGGGATTACAGGTGTCCACCACCATGCCCGACTAATTTTTTGTATTTTTAGCAGACATGGGGTTTCACCTTGTTGGCCAGGCTGGTCTTGAACTCCTGACCTCAGGGAATCTGCCCACCTCAGCCTCCCAAAGTGCTGGGATTATAGATATAAGCCACAGTACTGGATCTCTTTTTATTATTTAGCTGGGGGGAACAGAGTCTCATTCATACCTGTAATCACATCAGGTAATCACATCTGGGATTACAGGTGTGATTGGCAGGAAGCCAAGGAGGTTAGGAATACCCCTTGCCAACATGCATAAGAGACCTCCTCAGCTAGTGGGGAGGGCATCCAGAGACAGGGGCATAAATGAGATGGCCCTTATCCGTGTGGGGTAAAAGAAGGGAAGGAATCTCACCCACAGCCCTGTTCACAGGTCACAGGCCGCTTCGGGTTGTGCTCACAGTCACTGAGGTGAGACATGAGGTTGTCAAGACGGACAATAGCACTACAGCCAAACACAGCGTTGTCACAGGCAATCTGCAGCTTTGATAACATGTTCCGCATGATCCGAGGTACTGGGCGCAGATGGGCAACCGTCACGACACTACGGTCCACTGGACACGTCTGTTGCTGAGAAAACCACTGGGTGATGCAGGCGTTGCAGAAAGCATGCTCACAATGAGGTGCCTAGAAGGGAGAACAAGGCAAAAGGGGCACAAGGGAATTGGCAGAAACTAAGAGCCTGGATATGATAACTCTACAAAGCCAATCAAGCCATTGTGCAGCTTCTATGACGAGAGGTCCCTTGGGTCACAGCAAAGTATAGATCTACTATGGGCAAGGCATTGTAGGGGAGGCTAAGGCAGGCACACTGCTTGAGCTCAGGAGTTTGAGACTGGCCTGGGCAACATGACAAAACCCCGTCTCTATAAAAATTACAAAAATTAGCTGGGCATAATGGCACAAACCTATAGTCCCAGATACCCAGGAGGCTGAGGTGGGAGGACATTGGATGACTTGAGCACGGGAGGTGGAGGTTGCAGTGAGCCAGGATTGCACTACTGCACTCCAGCCTGAGTGACAGCCAGAACCTGTTTCAAAATGTATATATATGTTCCATGTGCTCAAGATTAAAAATGAGTTGTGAAACAAGACAAACAAGTAAAAAGTTATATAACAATAAAAGATATAAATGATATTCCCAGACAATAGGACAGATGACACAAGGCAGCCAATTATTAATTGCTATCTGGATTGCATACACAGTAATTGCCAAAAAAGTCCAGAGGAGGGTAAGGTCTTTTCAGGCCAGCTCAATCATGGTAGGTATTTACAGAGAGGACAGAATTTGATATGGGTCTTGAAGGATAATTCAGATTACAGATTTAGAGAAGAGGGGGACATTTTACTGGCAAAAATTCATGTAAGAAAGCTAAATAAGGTCGGTTGCAGTGGCTCGCACCTGTAATCCCAGCACTTTGGGAGGCTGAGGCAGGCAGATCACTTGAGGCCAGGAGTTCGAGACCAGCCTGGCCAACATGGCAAAACCCTATCACTACTAAAAATACAAAAATTAGCCAGGCATGGTGGTACGTGCCTGTAATCCCAGCTACTCGGGAGACTGAGGTGAGAGAATTGCTTGCACCCAGGAGGCAGAGGCTATAGTGAGCCAAAACTGCATCACTGCACTCCAGCCTGCGCAATAGAGTGAGACACTGTCTCAAAAAAAAAAAGCTAAACAATAACAAAAAAGCCCTCCTGTCGAGAGGTTAAGACACCTCTCTGTGAGGGCTCAAGTTCTTATTTTATGAGGGATGACCTGAGGTGTTGCCCTGAGGCCCAATAGCCACATCTAGCTTCCTAAACAGGGCTGGAGTTGTTTTTGTTTTTCTGTCACCCAGACTGGAGTATAAGGACATCATCTTGGCTCTCTACACCCTTGACCTCCCAGCCTCAAGGAGTCCTCCAGCCTCAACCACCAAATGGCTGGAAATATAGGCCCGCGTCACCACACCTGGCTAATTTTTGTATTTTTTTTTTTTTGTAGAATTGGGGTTTTGCCATCTTGGCCAGGTTGGTCTCAAGCAATCCACCCACCTCAGCCTCCCAAAGTGCTCACAGGTATTAGCCAATGTGTCCAGCCTGATTTTTATTTTTCAAAGATATACCTGATTCTTTTCAAAGTATTATATACCATATCTCCAAAGAAACCCTTAATTTCTCCACTTTTTTCTATCCCTACTAACACTAACTCAGTTGAAGCTGCTATCATCTCTCACCTGAATTATTAAATGTTTCCTAACTGGTTTCCCTACTTCTACTTTGTCCCTTAATAATCCATTCTACATTTAGCAGCTGGAGTGATGACTTAAAAATGCAAACCACACCAGCTGGGTGCGGTGGCTCACGTCTGTAATCCCAGCACTTTGGGAGGCCCAGGCAGGCAGATTGCCTCAGCTCAGGAGTTCTCGACCAACCTGGGCAATAAGGTGAAGCCCTGTCTCTACTAAAATACAAAAAATTAGCCAGGCATGGTGGCATGCGCCTGTAGTCCCAGGTACTTGGGAGGCTCAGGCAGGAGAATCGCTTGAACTTTGGAGGCAGAGGTTGCAGTGAGCTGAAATCGTCCCACTGCACCCCAGCCTGGGTGACAGAGTGAGCTCTGGCTCAAAAAAAAAAAAAAAAAAGTTGAAAAATGCTGAGTGTATGATAAAATATATTGTTTTCTAAGAACAGCGACAAAGAAAACCTAACCCCCGCCCCAACATGTGGAAAACTACTTGGGGCGTCCTCAAGTAGCAAGACAATATATGTATATCATATACGAGTTTTAAAACTATTCTTTAAGCACAGGATATGTGACCCTGCCACCCCACCCTCTCCCTGGCTCCCTTGTGGAGAATACTTTTTAGTTTGTCTGTGATCAGTGGTAAGCAGGCACCAGCTGCCTACCTGGTTTCTCTTGGTTCTATGAGAAAACACAGAACACCTGTTTGTTAGTAATAATCACCTGTTCAGAGAGAATACATATGTAGGTCAGAGTCTGCTCGAGGCCTTCAGCCCAGAATGCTGTCAGCCCCGAGGCTCTCAGCTCGGAAGGCTGCCGGCCCCCGCGACGGTCCCACTTTGCTGTTCTATCTGGGTGTCTGCTTCTTAATGCCTTCAGCACCACTTGGGTGGGGGTCTCTATGGCTGAACTGGACTCAATTAAAAAAAAAAAAAAATGCAAACCACACCATATCACTCCCCTGCTTAAAACTTTAGAGTATCTTCTGGCCGGGCGCGGTGGCTCAAGCCTGTAATCCCAGCACTTTGGGAGGCCGAGGCGGGTGGATCACGAGGTCAAGAGATTGAGACCATCCTGGTCAACATGGTGAAACCCCGTCTCTACTAAAAATACAAAAAATCAGCTGGGCATGGTGGTGCGTGCCTGTAATCCCAGCTACTCAGGAGGCTGAGGCAGGAGAATTGCCTGAACCCAGGAGGCGGAGGTTGCGGTGAGCCGAGATCGCGCCATTGCACTCCAGCCTGGGTAACATGAGCGAAACTCCGTCTCAAAAAAAAAAAAAGAAGAGACAAGTAGAGTATCTTCTGAAAGCAGACCCTGAGACAAGGACAAAAAAAAAAGAAAAAAAAAAACAAAAAACTTTACAGTGAGGCTGGATGCAGTGGCTCACCTCTATAATCCCAGCACTTTGGGAAGCTGAGGCAGTCAGATCACTTGAGGTAAGGAGTTCAAGACCAGACTGGCCAACATGGTAAAACCCTGTCTCTACTAAAAATACAGAAATTAGCTGGGTATGGTGGCACGTGCCTGTAATCCCAGCAAGGGAGGCTGAGGCACAAGAATCACTTGAACCTAGGAGGCAGAGGTTGCAGTGAGCCAAGATCGCACCACTGTACTCCAGCCCGGACGACAGAGCAAGACTGTTTCAAAATAAAACAAAAAAACTTTACAGTAGTTTCCCATTTTTTTTTTTTTTTTGGATGGATTTTCACCCTTGTTGCCCAGGCTGGAGTGCAGTGGCGCGATCTTGGCTCACTGCAACCTCCGCCTCCTGGGTTCAAGTGATTCCCTTACCTCAGCCTCCTGAGTAGCTGGGATTACAGGTGCAGACCACCATGCCCAGCTAATTTTTTTTTTTTTGTATTTTTAGTAGAGATGGGGTTTCACCATGTTAGCCAGGCTGGTCTCAAACTCCTGACCCTACCTGCCTCAGCTTCCCAAAGTGCTAGGATTACAAGTGTGAACCACCTGCCCGGCCTGTCAACTTTTTCATAACCATCTTAGCTAAACCTGCCACCCCTGCATATGCATACAGAATGTGCTACCTTTTGTGTAAGAAAGAAAAGTAGGTGTGAAAAAACACAGATATATTGATATATACGCATGTATACACATACATATATATGTAGACATATCTATTCATATTTGCTTGTATCTGCCTTAATACACACTGAAAGGATACCAAATTAATAAAAATAGTTATCTATGGGGAAATTAGGTAGACAGTAATAATGACAGAAGTGAGAATTCTCACTGTATACCTTTTTATACTATTTTGATTTCTGAAGTATGTTCATTTTTCACTTATTCGAAAAAAATAAATATATATGACATGGGGAAATCAGCATCCTTAGCAGGAGCTTTCTAACCTTGAAAATGTGTCTGAGAACCTGGCATCATGAGGGCTGCCTGCTCTGTTCCTCAGAAGCTAAACCCCAGAGGTAGATGGATGGCTTCTGACTAGACTGTCACCAACTATGACTCACCTTTCCATAAGTGACTTGGCTCAAATGGTAGTGTCAGAAAACAGCCCCTGCCAGGGCAAGGAGGGAACCTGACACACCCTGTGACCTCTTGACACTACTACTGGATGACTTGCTCCACACCTATCCAATATGCCTCTAATGGCAGTAGGCTGCAAAGGCCTAGAAGGAAGACAGGTCCAGAGCTCACTGCCATTGGAATGCAGTCTGAATTTTATTCAGTTCAAGCATCTGTACTCCTTAGGGAGTACTGGGAGAAAAAATAAACTCAGAGGCTCAAGGGGAGCACCTGGGAGTTAGGTAAGCAGTGAATGGCGGAAGGGCCATGAGACCTCATTGCCTATTGTCCTGGTTTGGAAAATGCGATAATCTCTAGATAGCCAGGAGTGAGAGAGGGTTAACTGGTATTTACAGAATGAGGGCAATAAGGATCCTGGAGGATGCTGTCCCATGAATACAACTGCTAAGGATACCTCACTAATTGTACTTGCCTGGTAACTGTGAGCTTCTCCTCATACTTACCCCAGGATGATACAACTGACTCTGGTCTGGCAAGGGTGGCAGAGAAATGACCTATTACAGGTAGCAGCTTTCACATCAAAATGCAGAGTGCATGGCTGCATCAAAAACTAGTCTTTTCAGTAGATCCCAGGAAGAAAATAGGTCAGTACATACAGTTCCCCACTTCCTATTTGTTAGACAGTAGGTAGGTAGAAGAGGCCTGCAGGGAGACTGGCTGATTACCTGAAGCACTATATCATAAAAATGCAGAGAGAACTTATTAGGAGAGTCCAGAAGTTCAATCATGGACAGGAAGATGGAACCTAGTAAGAGTTCCTGCAGAGGAAAGGAAGCTACCGAGCTATTATCACAAGAGAGAAACAAGCAGCTGACCATTTTACAGGAGGAAACTTTCAGAGTGACTTCAGAAAAAAATCTGAACCACTGGATCTCTGTGGCATCCACCTCTAGATTGATTATGGAAGGTCTTATTCTTGTAGCCACCATTACTCCTCTGACCTAAACCTTTATTGGGTGGGGGTGGAGGGAAGAACACAGTGACTTCCCCATGGGTCCTACGACCCAGGAATATTTTCTACTAGTTCCACTGCTACCTCTTGCCCCACCAAACCTGCCATTAGACCAACTCACCTGTACAGGCTCCTCCAAGACTCCGCTGCAAATAGGGCAGATAAGATCTTCGTCAACATCCCCCTGGAAACGGGTTACATCATACCCCATGTCTCATCACTGAAACCCAGCTCCTGAAAGGTCAACAGGAAAAAGAGGCCAGTTCAGAAGAAACCTACAAATATGTGACAAACATAAACTCATTGCCAAGATCCATTATTTATCCAACAAATATTTATTGGGAGTCTACTATGTGGCAGTCATTTGGCTGGGTGGAAGCTGACTCAAGAAATTTAATTCTAAGGCCTGGCACAGTGGCTCACACCTGTAATCCCAGCACTTTGGGAGGCCAAGGTGGGCGATCACCTGAGGTCAGGAGTTCAAGACCAGCCTGGCCAACATGATGAAAACCCACCTCTACTAAATATAAAAAAATTATCTGGGCGTGGTAGCACACATCTGTAATCCCAGCTCCCTGGAAGGGTGAGGCACAAGAATCACTTGAACCTGGGAAGCGGAGGTTGCAGTGTGCCAAGACTGTGCCACAGCACTCCAGACTGGGTGACAGAGTGAGAATCCATCTTAAAAAAAAAGAAAGAAATTTAATTCCAATGGGGAAAAGACATTATATAAGCACACATTTGTAGACGCAGGACTTTATGAGGGTAAAAGACATGAATACCTAAACCTGGCTGAATGCAGAGGGTGGTTTTGACAAGTTTTCCAGGACTGGGTGTCACCAGAAATGTGTCCTGTAGGGCAAGAGTGAGCTAAGGGAGCAGGGCATTAAGATGTTATGCACGTAAAACAGAACATCCAAATGCCCAGGAGAGGGAATACGGTAGGTTCAAAGAATTTCAAGTGGTTCAGGAAAAGGCTGACCTGAGGAGTGGGAGGGAGGACCTGTCAAGAGACAAGGCTGGAGAGGCATGCAAGGGTCATGCTGTGAAAAGTTTTCTGTGAGGAGTTTGGACTTTATTCTGAAGGCTATGAAAGAGCCACTGAAGGAATTAAAAAGAATGTGATAATAGCTCTATTTTAGAATCACTATATTAACCGGGGAGAAACTGGAGACTGGAAGAACATCTAAGCAAAAGAGAGATGGTGAGAGTCTGAACTTGGGTGGATAAAGTATAAGAGAGGTTCAAAAGAGCAAGGATTCAAACAGCAGTGATGAGGTCATGCCCCTTCTTTGGACTCCCAAAGGTCAAACCCAAAAAGGTCAGTAAATAATTAATGAAAGCCCCACTGGGTGCATCCGAGAGCGGCCTGGGCAACATAGCAACTGGTGAGCTAATTGGATCAAGGATGGGCCCTTGATAGAAGGGCAGCCAGTCCACAGACCAGGCATCAACCTGTGATGTCCTAGAAAAGATGAGCTGAGTCAATCAGACAGTTTTCAGGAATTTAAGATCAAACTGTCCAATTTTGGAATGCATCTTCAGTTTAATCTGAAGGCTGCATCTCCCCATTAAAAAAAAAAAAAAATGCCCAATTTTAAAACGTGAGGTGCAGAGAGGTCTTGATAGCTCTTTAGTGTAAGCTAATGTATAGCACTGAATTAAGTCAAAACCAATTGGGTTCACATTCCCAGTTCTACTACTCATTAGCTGTGTAACTTGGGGCAGGCAACACAGCCTTCCTAAGCTGAAGTTACTTTTTTTTTTTTTTTTTTTTTTTTTTGAGATGGAGTTTCGCTCTTGTTACCCAGGCTGGAGTGCAATGGCACGATCTCGGCTCACCGCAACCTCCGCCTCCCGGGTTCAGGCAATTCTCCTGCCCCAGCCTCCTGAGTCGCTGGGATTATAGGCACGCGCCACCATGCCCAGCTAATTTTTTGTATTTTTAGTAGAGACGGGGTTTCACCATATTGACCAGGATGGTCTCGATCTCTTGACCTCGTGATCCACCCGCCTCGGCCTCCCACAGTGCTGGGATTACAGGCTTGAGCCACCGCGCCCGGCCAGAAGTTACTTTTTAATAGATAAAAATAAGTATAATAGGCCAGGCATGGTGGCTCACACCTGTAATCCCAGCACTATGGGAGGCCAAGGCGAGCAGATCACGAGGTCAAGAGATCAAGACCATCTTGGCCAACACGGTGAAACCCCATCTGTACTAAAAATACAAAAATTAGTTTGGCGTGGTGGTGCATTCTTGTAGTCCCAGCTACTCTATGGGCTGAGGCAGAATTGCTTGAACCTAGGAGGCAGAGGTTGCAGTGAGCCAAGATCTTGCCACTGCACTCAGCCTGGGTGACAGAGCAAGACTTCGTCCCCCCACCCCAAAAAATGAAATGTTTGGTGTTTTTAATCTTTTTTTTTTGTTTGAGATGCAGTCTCATTCTTTCACTCATGCTGGAGTGCCATGATGGCTCACTGAAGCCTTGTCCTCTTGGTTCAAGCGATCCTCCCATCTCAGACTCCCAAGTAGCTGGGACTACAGGCATGCACCACCACACCTGACCTTTTTTTTGGTAGAGACAGGGCTCTTGCTACATAGCCCAGGCTGGTGTGGAACGCCTGGGCTCAAGTGATATCCCCACCTTGGCATCCCAAAGTGCTAGGATTAGAAGTATGAGCCACTGCACCTGGCCCTTTGTCATTATTGTTGAAATTTACTGAACTGAAAAGGGAGAATAGTGGTAAGAGAACAAGAGCAGCCCACAGTGTCTTTGTTCTTCTAAGTACCTAGATTCTTGAGAGCTGCAATAGATATTCCTGGTACTGTTCACCAGCAACCACATTCTAAGAATTATACTCCCTTTCCTTCTCTATCCACTTGACTCTGGCAGGAGTTGGCTCACTAGTATTATGAGACCTTACCCTAAGCTACAGCTGACTGAGCCAAGGGTGCACATGTAAACCAAGTGGGACTAATGAATCCTATCCTTGAAAATGTGAGCTTGATACCAAGAAAGTTGAGTTCGTCTTTCTCTGGCTGCCATGAACTCAGAAATCAGGTCTAAAGATGGAAGTAAAAGACAGAGTCACAGTGAGAAAGACAGAAATGAGAGCTGGAAAGTGTCCTATAGTGTTAGAGGTCCTAGTTTATTTCCAAAACTGAGCTGCCTGCCTATCTTTGGGTTTTATGAGACAATACAATAGCCTCTTTTGGCCACTTTGAGTTGGGTTTCTGTACCTTACAATCAAAAGAGTCCTGGCTCATACAGAGCAATGACATAACATTCTAGCATCACTTGAGAATTCTGGCAGGGAAGGATGAAGTTAAGAACAATGTTTTGGCTGGGCACGGTAGCTCACGCCTATAATTGCAGCACTTTGGGAGGCCAAGGCAGGCAGATTACTTGAGGTAAAGAGTTTAGGACCAGCTTGGCCAACATGGCAAAACCCCATCTCTACTAAAAATACAAAAATTAGCTGGGCATGGTGGCGCATGCCTGTAATCCTAGCTACTCAGGAGGCTGAGGTTGCAGTGATCTAAGAATGCACCACTGCACTCCAGCATGGTGACAGAGTGAGACCCTTTCTCAAACAAACAAACAAAATGATGTTTTTAGGCCTGTAATCCCAGCACTTTTGGAGGCTGAAGTGGGAGGATCACTGGAGGCCAGGAGTTCAAGACTAGCCTGGGCAACATGGTGAGACTCTGTATTTTTTTTTTTTTTTTTGATACTTAAAATTTTTTAAAAGGCCAGGTACAATGACTCACTCCTGTAATCCCAGCATTTTGGGTGGGAGAGGGGGGAGGATTCCTTGAGTCCAGGAGTTCAAGACCTGCCTGGGCAACGTAGCAAGATCCTGTGTCTACAGAAAAAACTTAGTTGCAGGGGGAAAAATGAGCTGGTGTAGTCGCATGTGCCTGCAGCACCAGTTACTGGAAAGGCTTAAGTGGGAGGTTTGCTTGAGCCCAGGAGGTTGAGGGAGTGAGCCATGACTGTGCCACTGCACTCCAACCTGGGCAACAAAGTGAGACCTTGTCTCAAAAATAAATAAGGTTGGGTGCAGGGGCTCACACCTGTAATCCCAGCACTTTGGGAGGCTGAGGTGGGTGGATAACCTGAGGCCAGGAGTTCGACACCAGCTTGGCCAACATGGTGAAACCCCATCTCTGCTGAAAATACAAAACTTAGCCAGGGATGGTGGTGGGTGCCTGTAATCCCAGCTACTTGGGAGGCTGAGGCAGAAGAATCACTTAGACCTAGAAGGCAGAGGTTGCAGTGAGCCAAGATTACCCCACTGCACTCCAGCCTGGGTGACAGAACAACACTCTGTCTCAAAATAAATAAATAAATAAATCTATATATATTTACATATAAACATTTAATGAGTACCATCCATACATCAAGAAGCCTAATAAATCCTAGTTCCTACGAGATGAGTGATGGGGGAGGTAAACATGAGTATGAGAAACACAGAAGAAAGGGTTCTTTTTGGTAGAGACAGGATCTTACTATGTTGGCCATACTGGTCTTGAACTCCTAGCTTCAAGTGATCTTCCTGCCTTGGCC